ATTTCTTCTGCCTACCTAATCCAAACCTACCTTTTCTTGCTTTGAAGCCATTCCCCCTTGTCCTGTCACTACCTGTCCCTGGCCAAGTCCCTCCCCAGCTTTCCTGTAGGCTCCTTCAGGCACTGCAAGGGGCTCTCAGGTGTCCCCAGAGCCTCCTCTTCTCCAGGCTCAACAATCCCAGCTCTCTCAAATTGTCTCCCACAGCAGAGGTGCTCCATAGCTGTAGATTAATTTACTGCTTGCCCATCTCTAGATAAGCTCCAAAGACCCACAGTCATTCAATTAGTTCAGCAGATAATACTCTGCACCTACTAATGCTGTATACTGTGGCTTGTGTACTTTACTCCCCAAGTTCCCTGTGTACTTTGCTGCCCAGGTGTGATTTACAGCCCCTGGAGGTAAATGCCAGTCCCCTTTAACCTGGGCTGCTCAGAGAGCAAACTGCTGGCAGCAGCTGCAGTGTCCACACTCAGTGCATGCTGAGCCTCCCAAGGGTGTGCTGGGATTGTGGGGCAGTTCCTGCCCTCCAACACTACCTGCTGTGCTGGTGTCAGCTCTCCTGGGCCTGAGGGCATGGCCAGTGCTCCCTGTGCACTGCCAGCTGCACTGCCTAATGCAGCCCGTGCAAACAGGGGCCTGGGGGACAACTGATGCAGCTTATCATGTTTATACACTTCAGCAAACAAAGGCACTAATGTTTCTTGGCTACAAGTTACCTGTTCTCTTATTAATTAGTGTTCTATTCGTTTATAATTCCCTCTCTTCTCATGCTAATTACCCCATGCTCAGTCTTCCTCTTCTTTTGGGTCAGTCGGTAGTTGGGACCTGCCCCTGCTGGAATTACCCTCTACCCAGTTGGACCTGATTTCAGCACAGTTGCTGACTTGTCTTTATTAGTGTCTTTTTTATCTTTATGGGCCAAATGTCCTTGTGGCCCGTAAATTCTGCATTCTTTGTGTGCCCAAATCAGTGGTACATCCTTCTTGCCAAGCCTTGGTAACCTCCCCCAAGTCTGAGATGACTGAAACACGTCCAGCCCTCAACCTTAACAAGGCAATTCTACCGACAAGTAATTTGTCTTTCTAACTAATGCCTGGACATCACTTAGAGCTTGCTGGCTGCTCTCTGTTCCACAGATTAAATCTCCCTCCTTGTGGATTAGGTTTGAAAGTATACAAAGAACATTCTTTTTTGCATATTCCACATTTTGCAATAAGATGATCTAAGAAGCAGGACTGGCACATATCAGACTTGGTGACCGACTTGGAAAGGCAATTATAGAAATTATGTCTAGTTAATAAATTAGAAAAAAAAAAAAGATAAGGCTTCTGTGAGAAACAGAACAACAGCAGCAGTTCTTGCTGAATATTATGAGCTGAATAAACTGCAAAGAGAGGTGCACAGTGCATCCATTTGTATATAATGTATATGCACTGTCACACAATTGAATTGCATGTCTATACCAAGCACCATTAATATTAAAACTGTAAAATAAAATGAGGTTTGGAGTATAATGTAGGAACCCACTGCTTAATGGTAGCCTACACATCGTGGCTCTGGCATTACTCCTTTCTCAGCTGTTTGACACCTTGCCGTTCTTTATGTTTGGGGTTTAAAGTGGACACATGGACAAAACGCTTGTCCCTGTTCCCCGGGTCCCTCCCTCCTGAGGGCGGGGAGCGGGGCTGTCCCAGTTCCCCGGGTGGTGGAGCCTGCTGGAGGCGGGAGCGGGGATGTCTCGCTTATCCTGGAGAATCCTGAGGGCGGGGAGCGATGCCGGTCCCTCTCCCCCGTGCTGGCGATGCCTCACCGGGCAGGCAGCGGGGCTGTCCCGGTGCCCGGGTGGCTCCTGCGGGGCTGTCCCGGTGCCCGGGTGGCTCCTGCGGGGCTGTCCCGGTGCCCGGGTGGCTCCTGCGGGGCTGTCCCGGTGCCCGGGTGGCTCCTGCGGGGCTGTCCCGGTGCCCGGGTGGCTCCTGCGGGGCTGTCCCGGCTGAGCCCAGCGCTGGAGCGATGGAGGCGGCGCCGTGCCCGTGAGGGCTGAAGCCGCTGCTGCCGGTCAAAGCTATTTATCTCATCTCTTCGTTACTTTCAAGAGTCGAACTGTATCTAACAAAACCGGGCAAACTTAAACTGGGGGGATAGAATGAAGCGATTACACACTTCGCGTTCATACACCCCTTTATAATGGGGTTAAAACAAGAATTAACTGTTTGGGGTTTTTATGATTACTTTCTAGTTATTTGTCGTTATAATCCTGGTCGTTTAGGGGTTTGGTGGTTTTTTTGAGTTGTTTGTGTGTGTGTGGTTTTCGGTTTTTAAGGGGATTTTGTGTGCGTGTTTTGGGGGGGGGGTTAGTTGGGTTTTAAGATTAACTCCGTCTGGTCCCCAGGTTGTTCCCGGGCGGCGCTGGGCCCTTCCCGGGATCAGGTAACGCTGAGCTGCGCTGCTCCAGGGGCTGTGCCGGCATGCAGGGAGTGTTCCCGGTCACGGCAATTGGGCTGCGCTCCCTGCCCGCAGTGCCCTCGGCCCGGACCTTTGGACCTGCTCTGCCGCATAAAACCGGGGAGTCACCGGCAGTCCAAGCGGGCGTGAAAAATGGCTCCTCAAAGCCGGATTGCTTTGCTTTGCTCCTTGCTCTGTAGTGTTGCATTCCTCTGGTGTGGAGCGGAAGGTGAGATGCACGGTCTCTTGTTACTGCTGTTGAGGAAGTTGATTCTCAAAGTGTGATTTTCCGAAGGCAGTAAACCTCTTAGGCTTTGGTAACAATCTGCAAAAGTATCTTAGTGACGCAAAGATTACTGGCTTTGTGAGATGAAGCCATTTCTGAGATGATTTTATGAAAAGAAAGCTTTCTATCTTCTCTAAAAGGCAGAAAGCAAAAACATTTCTGAATTATCTAAAGTACATATTTTAAAGATTTTGTTGAATCATAAGTTTAGGAAATGTTAATGGTTTTGCTGTTTGCTCTGAAATTTGCTTTTTAGCTTCATGCACAGTGACCAAACTCTGTCCTACCTAGTCCCAGGTGTCACTGGCAGAGCAGATACTGGAGGGTTTGGCAGGGCGTGTCTGTCATTGCACAGAAGCAAAATGAAAACTGAACAAAACTGAAAGGACTAAGCTGAAATTTTCTAAAGTAAACAGTTAAAACACATAATTGAAAAGTCTGTCTGATAATTGTAGAGATGCAATTTATTTATTTTTTTTATATCTTATGTGTTTCTTAGGACAGAGTGGTGCTGAGCCAGAAGTGACTCTTGCGCTCGGACGGCTCAAAGGGAAGCAAACAAATGTGAAGGGGACAGACAAACTTGTAAATGCATTCCTTGGAATTCCTTTTGCAAAAGCCCCCGTTGGAACCTTGAGGTTTTCCCCACCTGAACCACCTGAGCCCTGGAATGGTGTGAGAGATGCCACGTCTTACCCACCCCTGTGAGAGCCATTCAGACCCTTTGTATGCAGGCCCTGCTCGTGTGGGTTGGTGGGGTTGTGTTTATTGGGGTACAGATTGTTGGGAAGGAGCTGGTAGTGGATGCACTGCCGGTACTGGAGTATTTCAAGCCCAAGTCCTGCTTTTCCAGGCTGCACCCCTTGCTGTGGATAAGTAACACAAAGTTCAAGCACCCCATTGGGATTCAGCCTGTGGGGCAGAAGAGTGTTCTCTCTGTTGGAATTACACTGAGGCTGTTGCAGTTTCATCATTAATAATGGTGCTTCCTTTCTTTTGTGAAGGTGTCCTCAAGA